CCCTCAAAGCTTAAACCCTAGAAACCACCCGAAACGCCCTAAACACCAAAAAGGTCTTAAACACCAACAACCACAAAAACCCAAAGCCTGAAAGCCTGGAAGCCCTAAACCCTAGACCCTAAATCCTAAACCCTAAGTCTACCGCCATCAACCCGACAAGCCTAGGCCTCTGATCTCTGATCTAAAGGGTTTTGGGTTCTTTTTTGAGCTCCCTTACATCCCCTTTAAGTGTGCTACGGATTTTGCTCCGATTCTGACCATCTTCCGTTGCTGAGCGACGCAACAGCCCAGTACTTGCGGCGTTCGTCTGGGCATGGCCAACTGTTAGTAGTCGTTGCTGCCGGGTTCTTGTTCAGGAACTTCATTCAAATTAATCCCTAAACCCTAAACCCTAATCCCTAAACCCTTTAAAACAACCTTCAACCCTAAACCCTTAAAAAAAACCCTCAACCCTAAACACTAACAGAGAATCATGTCTCTAGCAAGTTAAATTCCATCAGCGAGGGAATTGGAATCTCCGAGGCCCCATGGTCGACCCCGGTAAGTGCAACGGATGGTTGAATAATCAAGGGGTCATACTTGGGACGCGCTCCCACATGAGCACGAACGTCCGACCGCAAATACCGCAGAAGGGGTCATACGGTTGATGATATAGATTGTTGCATGACCCATTATAATAAGGAATATACCATAATTCCCATGGTTCGGGGTCCTTAAGGTGATGCTAAGGATGTATATCATCAGCAGTAATCATACAATAATGCGCATCCACAGCCCTAGTCTCGCCATGGAGGCCCCTGTAAAATCCTATTCAAAGCTGATAAAGCTCCTAAGCCCTGAACCCTAAACCCTCAACCCGAAGCAATAAACCCTGAAAGCTGTGCTAAGGGAGGGTTCAGGGCGTTGGGGTTTCGGGTTTAGGGGCCAGGGTTTGTAGAGTCTTCGGTTTGAGATTAAGGGTATGAGGGCTCATTCGGATCAGGGGCTCAACCCTAAACCTTAAACCGGGTATGTAGCATTGTTTAGGGTTTAGGGCTTAGGGTTTAGGGTTTAGGGTGTTTGCTCCCTGAGGGCGTTCTCGAAGCCAGCGCAGCCGAACGGACACGAGCAGAGAGGCTCGAAACCCGGAGCCCTAAACCCCAAGAGGATACCCCAAGCTAGGTTTTGGCTTAGGGCCTAGGGGTCTGTGGCTTTAGGCTTTAAGCCTAAACCGTCTGGGCTTGCCTTAAGCCTTAGACCACTAGATCACTCAGATTATTGAGCATTGAAGGCAATATTGGCCCTCTAAAGGTTCTATAAGGGCATTCTGCTTTGCGGAGTCTGGCTTGCGGTGTTCTTGTAGTTAAGGGCTTAGGCTTGTAGGGGCTTCATGAGTTGATCGTCCTTCATTATCCTCATGATTGTATCAACAATAAACAGCAAAAGCACAACTCGGTTTAGGGTTTAGGGTTTTGGGTTTAGATCTAGCAAAAACAACAAGGAGGACAGCAGCAACAACATCAGCCTCAGCATCAACACCAGCATCCACATCAACATCAACAGCAACAGCAGCAGCAATACCAAGAACAATAACAAGAACAACAACAATAGTTATCATGATTAACAACATTAACAACAACAACAAACATGATAATGATAACGGTTTCATAAGAATAATAGTAGCAGTATCGGTACTAACGATAATACGAATACAGAAAATCATAATATTCACAATGGCAACAAAAGTACTAATGACAAAAATTCTAATACTCCTAATAAAACTAACAATACTACTACTAGGACGAATGATACTAAACATGCAAATAGTGATAACAACCAAGGTGACAAATATCAAAGGACCCTGCATGCAAACATGCCGCGGAAATGCTGCGTTGCAAGGACGATGTCCCAGGCGTCTTCCATGGTTGATTTGATAGTGCCACAAAGCAGCGCTGGAGCATTGGGAGAAATCTCTGACACGTTGCCCGGGGGCGCGCAGCGCCTGTGGCAAGCTCCCTCAATGGTTGCTCCGGTTTATGGAGGTCGATAAGCCCGGCACCGGCACACGCCCAGGGAAGGTGCCTGAAAGCACTTTGGCTATCACCGCACAGCTCCTGAAGCAGCTCGGCATGGGTACCGTGATTTCACGGTGTCGGCCGTAGCCAACTTGCTCGGCACGAACCGGGAGCTGCAAGAGCTGGTTTAGGGTTTAGGGTTTAGGGTCCGCCAACACGACCTCGAAGAAGGTGCCGACCCAGAAAGCCTGGAGCAAGTCGTTCATGACCATGCAGCCAACAAGCCATCACTGCCTGGCATGGGGTATATAGATGTGTCCAATCGCCACCATGCTCTATACACGCGTGTATGCAGAACATTTTCTTAGTATGCTCGGTTGGGTTACAGTTGCAGTTGCACCCAAAGCGTTAAAACCCCAAGCCCTCAACCCTGAACTTTTAAGCCCGGCAGCCTTAAAACACACACTCCAATTAGGATGAAGGCTTCAAGTCTATCCCACACCTTCGGCAGTGGACTTTTGAAAGCAAGGTCATGGTTCTGGCAACCTATAGAACCGGACTCGATATAGGATATGGGAGACTCAATCTAGGGGCCTGAATAACTAGATGAGGGCTTTGGCGTATAATATCTTCTAAGCATATAGGGACTGTGAAGAACACTATTCGTATTTATTCCGACGCGCTATGCGGGGATCGTCTGGCGTGCAGGGTTGGGGACTTCGCTATCTTCTCTGCAGTTTGCAGAACTCAGGAGGCCAAACGGTCTTGAGTTTAGGGTAGGAGCCAAACTTATCGGGCGGAAACCTAAAGCAATAGCCACGCTTTTCTTGCGAGACTGTGATCAAAGCAGCATCCGTGCTGTGCTGCCTATGAACCATGATGAAGGTTCGTCTGCTTGGTAGATATCTTCAGCAGTGTCATCGCCAGCACATCACGCCGACCCCGTCGTCATTCTCCTCGTTCTTACATTCATCATGATCATGGCCACCCTCTTCCTGGTCGTCGTCGCCATCATCATCATCATCGTCACTATCACCATCACCATCACCACTATCATCATCATCATCACCACCATCACCATCACCATCACCACCACTACCATCATCATCATCATCATCTTCTTCTTCATCACCATCATCATCTTCTTCATCTTCATCAACTTATCACCATCATCATCATCATCATCTTCATCAACGCCATCATCACCATCATCATCATCATCTTCATCTTCATCGACGCCATCATCACCATCATCATCATCATCACCATCATCACCATCATCACCATCACCATCATCATAATCATCATCACCATCTTATCACCATCATCATCATCATCTTCATCTTCATCAAAGCCATCATCACCATCATCATCATCATCTTCATCTTCATCTTCATCAACGCCTTCATCGCCATCATCATTACCATCATCATCATCATCAACGCCATCATCATCACCATCATCATCATCATCATCACCATCATCACCATCACCATCATCATCATCATCACCATCCTATCACCACCACCATCATCATCATCATCATCATCTTCATCTTCATCAGCGCCATCATCAACACCATCATCACCATCATCATCATCATCATCGTCACCCTCGTCACTGTTGCAGTTTGGCCGTGGTGCCACCGTAGCCAGCAGACCAAACACAAGATGCCTCTAAAGCCTTGCAGGACTGGGCTCCTCTCTTCGGCTTAGAGGCCGGGAGCGGCAGGTCAGGGTTGATGTTCCGCGAGGGTTTAGGGGTTTGGGGTTTAGGGTTTAGGGTTTGGGGTTTGGGGTTTAGGGTTTTGGGTTTAGGGGAGACCACAAGGAAGTTTCAGAAAATCATGGGGCCCCATGTAGACCCTAAACAGTGCCACCCTGTTCCCAAACAGGGGCCTTAAAATGAGAAGCGACCGCAGCTTGGCGAACCACGGAAAAGGTGGCGACTTGCCAAGGTTCAAGGGTGGAATGGTGATAAGGCCTCCGATTGGCATAAGGCCTGCCAATAATATTCCACGTGGTTTCGGAGCACTATGTACTAGGTTCCTGGGTAAAAGGGACTCGGCGGCTCCGACGGTCGCGATCGAAATTTTCGACGAGGCAGCGCGTTCTTCGTCCTCCAGCGGCAGCTTATTCCGGCGACGACCCCCAAACCCAAAATCCAACTCGTCGGCGCTCCCGAAGTTAATGAATTCTGCTCCCGCCATGCAACGGTGCACAGTATTTCTTGCACCTCCCAAACTCCCTGCAAAAGTTCCGGGCCGCAATTCAGGGGGTAGGAAGGGCAGGGCTGTGTGCGTTCTGGGGCCCGGGGTGCCAGCCGTGCTGGAGGGCTAAGTCTTGGTGCACTTCCCGCTCGTCCATGCTGAGTCAAGTTTTGTATGTCAGGTTCGTCTGAGGCTGTGTATTTGGTTTCCTCGCAGTCAACATCGTATGCAGCACACGCAGTCCGGCTAGGGTCGATTCCTTGCCAGGCAGTGCATCTGGTGCTGGATGCAGGCGCTGTGCATGCGCCACTGCCGGAGGGGAGTTGCAATAAGGTGTAGAGGCTGGAGTGGGGTTCCACTGTAGCATCGCAACCTCAACCCATGTGCCCGAAGAGCAGTGAAGACCACCGCTTGTTCCTAGTCATCCTAGTTTGCTCGTCTGAGTGTTCCTGAAGCATGCAACTTGGGTCTACCGGGCCTTCTCTAACTAAGATTTTTTTCGCCACTACCGTGGGGAAGGGTAGCGAAGGAGGGTGAGGTCGGGCCTGAGTCGGTGTTGCCTGTCCATCCACTTCAGTTTTGGCTTAGGGTTTCGGGGGGTGTCTACCTCGCCACTTGAGTGTGAGCTATTCATTGGGCTCGAGCGGCTCTCTATTATTATTCTATTAGCATTAGTATTGTTGCTATTCTTTTTGTTATTGCTACGAACATCTGTGCGGTTACCTTGACTATTCTTTGATACGGTTATTATAGTTAACAAGCCAGCTGGGTCGCGATCTCTCCCATGGTACGCTGAGGACGGCTTCACGATCAAGTCGGCGAAGTTTCAGTTTCGGCGTGGCATGGGCGAGGACTCCTTTCTGCTCTGTTCCAGCCATGAGGCCATGCTGTTCCGCCTTGGTTCTGCTGAACCTTAAAATTTACGGTTGATGATATAAATCCTGCATTACCCATAATAAGGAATATACCATAATTCCCAGAGTTTAGGGTCCTCAAGGTCATGCAGGATTTATGTCATCAACAGTACCAAAGACGTGCCTGGGAGACAAGCTCTGTGCAGTTCTTCGCTTTGTTTGGAATCCTGTGGCTGTGGCATCACTCGGATGATCACTCTAGAAACCCAATATATACAGCCCGGCACCGAGTTGGTTCAGAGAGTTATGAAATATAGGGGAATATAGGATATAGGGGCCTAACTTGTTACCAATAGTGTTCCCTAGAGTTTCCTGATGAAGCCCACACGTATGATACCCAAAGGCCCTATTCATGCCCCTAAACCCTAAACCCTAAGGCCCCTAAACCCTAAACCCCCAAGGCCCCCTGAACCCTAAACCCTAAGGCCCCTAAACCCCAAACCCTAAGGCCCCTGAACCCTAAACCCTAAGACCCCTGAATCCTAAACCCTAAGGCCCCTACATAAACTGCAAGGCTCTTGCAAGAGCTTGGTACAGGAGCTGCATGGGCTGCTCCCCAACCTCCTGGAGTGGGTCCTGCCAAAGTACAAGAACAAGGCCCTTCTTTGCTTTAGGGTTTAGGGGTTTAGGGTTTAGGGGTTTAGGGTTTAGGGCTTTGGGTTTAGGGTTTAGGGTTTAGCGCTTAGGGTTTGGGGTTTAGGGTTTAGGGATTCTCCTAAAGCCTCGATAGCCCCTGCGCCCCAGAAGCGGCGACAAGCCGCCCAAAAAACCTGAACGCCGGAACCAGGAGTGGGGCTAAGCCGGAGGCGTCTCAAGGCCTAAGAATCCCCAGCCTCAAGCTCCCTCGGGATTTTTTTAGAGACTCCAAAACCCCCTTAATTAAGGAATAATATACCTTGAATTATAATAGGAACCCTAATAAGATTTAAGGTATATTCCTTAATTAAGGGGTTTTGGAGTCTCTGGGTTCGGCCAGGGTTTCAGGATCGGGAGCGTAAAGTGCAGGAAACGGATGTGCGCGATGTGCAGTGCTGAGCGCTTAACACGGTCGGTATTCTCCACAACCAACCAATACCTGTCAATAGTTGTAGCATTTCAAACCCTCAAGTTTGCATTCGAAGTACTGTTGATGATATAAATCCTGCATTACTTTAAGGACCTTAAACTATGGGAATTATGGTATATTCCTTATTATCCGTATGTTGCTGTCGGAAGTCGTGAAGCCTGGTGTCTGCCTAGCTATGTGTCTCAGGGGGTGGAAGGTGGAAACTCGTCACTGATCTGCCACTACCTTGTTTAAATAAGGATGTTTTTTTTCCGACGGCTACACTTGGGTTTATTTTGGGTCCTTAGACCAGGGGTGCGGCTGTTGAGGGTTCTATTTTGGGGCTCCTTGTTCTCCGAAGCTCCGTAACCTTAAATCCCAATCCTATCCATAAATCCTGAAGCTGTGCAGGTTTTCTGTTGGGTGCAAGACCATGTGAATTCCTACATGCACGGCTATCAGAGCCCTTCGGCAGGGAATTCATGCTCCAGTTAGGTTCAGCTTCGGTGAGACTCTGACAATGTCGGATTGGCATGAAACTAGGTTCCCCAGTAGTACCCCTTGGGGGTCTCCTTAGTAAAGCCGAATATGAGAAAAAAAAGGGTGCCTTTTTATAAGGGGTCGCTGGGGAACCTAGGAAGGTTCAGTCACAGTCATGACCAACAAAGAGGGTTTTGGGTTCGATCCCTTGTCAACTCTCAGCAGAGTTCATTTCGTAACATCGGGGTCGGAAGATGTAGTAGTAGCTCCTTACAGTTACAGTATACGGTTGATGATATAAATCCTGCATCACCAATCATAAGGAAAATACCATGATTCCCATAGTTTAGGGTCCTTAAGGTCATGCAGGATTTATGTCATCAGCAGTATGATGCCCCCAAGCTCTATTCTAATCATTAAGGCCCCTCATTCTCCCAGCTCTGGCTTCTTCGGCAAAGGATCCCGGGAAAGTCGGAGGCCCTAAATCCGAAGCCCGAAGCCCTAAGTCCCCAAGGCCCTAAATCCCCTAAACTCGAAGTTTTAGGACCCTAATCCCTAAAATACCTTAACCTTAAATCCCTAATCCCTAAACCCTGAACCTTAAATTCCTAATCCCTAAAATACCTTAACCTTAAAGACCCCTAACCCCTCAAACCCTTAGCCTTAAAGATCCCTCACCCCTAAATCCTTAACCTTAAAAATCCCTAATCCCTAAACCCTGATCCCCCCCCCCTGCGGAAGTCACAGCTTTAAGCCGCCATCTGACACGGCTGCCTGCAGCCGGCCCCTGCTCAGGCTGCAAGCTGCAATTCTGGCACAAAATCAGGTTGAAGAGGTAGCAAGGGCAAGATAAGGAGGGTATGCGTTTGCGGTTTAAGGTTTAGGGTTGTAGGATTGTAGGGTTTAGGGTTAAGGGGGTTACAGAGGGTTTCTTATGAGTTGAACTCCAGACCCGAAAGGTTCAGTTCCCAGTCTCCAAAAGAAAGACTCCAAAGCCGAGTAACTGGCATCCGGCCAAGGTAATCGGCAAGTGTTGAATCACGTGCAGGCGCTTCGCACTGGTTGATGGTGGGAATAGCTGATGACTGGGGTCTAGGGTTTGGGTTTAAAGTAGTCTTTAGGGCGTAGAGTGTAGGAAGTGTAGTATGTCCGGTTGAGGTGAGGTTCACAAGGGACTTGGGAACACTTGCGGGTAGAGGGAATTGAGCCGGCAAGGCCCGTTGGCGTCTAAAAAAACTCAAGGCCCGTCTGCGCAGCATGTGACAGGTGTTACAGCCGGGCACGGATGACAGATGCCTGCTGCACCCTGGCACGAGACGACCTACAACGCAGAAATCATGTCGATCCTCTGTGCTGTGCCCATGGGCCCATGCTCTGTGTTGTGCCCAGGGAGCCATGCACCCAACTTCGCAGCCCCTTTTGCACCGAGGGTGGGTGAGTTGGAGATGGTGGAGATGTCGTCACTCGAGATTATGGCAGGGTTTAGGTCTTGATAAGGCTTTAAGGGGTTTAGCTTATGGTAGGGGTTAGGCCTTTGTATGGCGCTAGGAGGTTCATATTATGGTAGGGTTTCAGGTCTTTAAGGGGTTCAGGGCTTACGGTTCTGTGCGGAGGTCAGGATGCAAGCTTGGAGAGACGAACGCATCTTTAAAGGCGGTATGGTTTGGGGATCAGGAGGAACAGCACTGCAAAACCTCAGCTAAAAAAATCGTAGTTCAGAGATCGAAGTGCCTCGCCCAAATCCCAAACTGCAAACCATCAAGCTCCACACTTTTTGAAGCTCTCAGCCCAGTTCCCAAACTCCTTATACAGGATGCCTGAATTATCAGTCTGGTATCCTAGGCCTCCTTATGATCCATTCTGCTACGAGAAACCCCCCAAAGCCCTATTCTCATTCTTATGGGCCCTTGAGTAGATCTTCAAACTCATCTAAGTTGAACGGTGGTGCTCTTGCTTGAGTCGCATGTCTGTACACGCTTCATGGATGTTGATGAATCTACCAGGTTCTGTTGAGAGCTCGCTACACTTCAAAAGCCCTAAACCCGGAAGCCCCCAACCACTCCTTGCGCTTGTATACCACTCACTGTATACTCTAAACCCTAAGCCCTTATAGTAACACCATAGATCCCTTAAAGAAACCCTATATGGGGTTCATCTCATATAGTACCCTAAATAGCAGGATCCCTATTATAAGGACCCCAAAATAAGGTACCCCTTGTCTTCGGAAACTCCCAAACCCCTAGTTACAGTTCCATGATCCAAGTAGCCTGGCTCTTGAGGAAGTCTCAGCTCGGAGCGCCGGCCTCAGTTACTCCTAGGTGGTTATGCTTCGGAGCCGGGAAACTCAGCAAATCCAGAGGATGATGGCGGAGTCAGACTTGTTTGAAGGTTTATGATGTTTTGGGTTTGAGGCTTGAGGGTTTGGGCTTGAGGTCCCTAGGTTGAGACTTCTTTGTCCGCCATTGAGTACCTTTCCAGCAATTGGAATGACCCTTAAACCCTACATGAGGTTCGGCTGGGGTTTAGGTTTCGGGTTTATATTATGGGGCGCCTTGTCCGTGTAAGAGCAGAGACACGTGTATAGTAGGTAACTATTCATACATAGTTTCTGCTGTACTCTGTGCAGTATCTAGTCCATACAGTGTGTAGTATGTAACTTAAATCATATAACACACATCGGATGTGTAATATAGGGTATGTATCACGCAAAGCATTTAATGGTATAGTGAGACTAACTGTATATATGTATAATACAACACATAGTATGTAGCCCATAACACATATGATCTATTCTGTGCGGCATGAGATAATTCATGTCTAATATAGGTTCCATGGTGTCATATATATATATATATGTGTACTCTAGAGTAGATGGTACCTGTTATGTGGCTTGTGATCTGTAACACTCAGCATGCAGCATAAAGCATAGCCAGTAGTGTATAATGTAGCTCTGACATCTAGTACGTACCAGATTGTATAAGACATAGAACGTTTGTTGCACAGGCGTGCGCGCACACATACATGTGTGTGTATAGAGATAAGTATGTATGTATGTATGTATGTATGTATGTATGTATGTAATTCAACATCAAACGCATGGTGCACAATACGTGGTATATGTCATAAACGATCTAATCGAAACTTTGTAACATGATACTAGATATGTAGCTCACATAAGCTGCGGCACACCGTACATAATATTTCTTACATATTACACCTATGTGACATGATCTAGGGCATAGAGCAGAACATGCAGTCTAAAGTATATAGAATATACCATGGAACATAGAATGTAAAATGTTTACCAGAGACTGTTATATATGCATACAGCAGATTGTAAGTGAATGTTTTGGCGGCTTTCAGCTTCGAGCGGTTTTGCTTTTGTGGTTTAGGCGTCGCCCTTGTTGGCAGGACGACACGCCACCGCACAGACACAGCCCACGATCGGGTATTGGGGAAGCTGGGGAGGAGAAGGAGGAAGAAGAGGACAGTCGCACTAGACAGCATGCACTATCATGAGGGGTGACGCACTGCAAGCCAAGCAGTGTGCATGTGTTGCAGTCTGGTTCAATGGAATGCGATAAGTGGGTGGCACTCATGATGCACAGAGAAGGGCTTGTGAGCTTTCAGATCTTTTGAGGTTTCGCAGCTGCGGAGCACGCCCATATTGTCGTGTCACAGCATACATGTGCGATGACTACCGTTGGCCGCATGGGACAATTAATGTTAATTCAATGCCGTTGATGACATAAATCCTGCATTACCTTAAGGACCCGAAACTATGGGGTATATGTCTTATTATGGGTAATGCAGGGTCTATGTAGTAGTCCGTTGTTTCGCAGCCAGGAGCCATAATATGGTGTTGGAATAGTTACCAATATGTTAATTAGTGTTCCTGATTAAAACCATACCCGACCCTACCCTATTCTTGAACCCCAGCTCCCAGGGTGGTGCCCATGATTTGCGATGCATGGAAGGCTGAAGGTGAGAAAGGCTTTCGGACCGTGCGCATTCTTTCGGAGTTCAGGGTCTAGGGTTGAGGGTTTACGGTTTCGCAGGTCAGGCTTGGCTGAGGGCAATATACTATCCCCCACCCGACCCTCCGAAAACAAGCCCCTAGTTTTACACTCCTCTAGACAGCCAAATCCTATTTGATGGTCGTGGCCCCCCTTTCTAGAGGCCGCGGCATTCTCTTGGATGGCAGGACGTCTTCATGCATCTAGAGATGCGGCACTTCTTCTTCCGGTGACAGCGACGAGACCCAAAGCGCCTTCTGACGGGTGTGGGAGTCAGGCTCTAGGTTTCGTGTGGCATCAGCAACTAGACTCCTGGTTTAGGGCTTAGGGTCTAGGGTTTAGGGTCCTTGTCGGGAAACAGCAAGCTTGAAACGACATGGCGAGAAGTCGTTGATAAGGTAGTGAAGATGGTGACGACTGGTACAAGGGGCGGTGTCCTACAGTTTTGCAATGGCCCTGCGATTCAATCTCTCCTATGTAAGCTATTGGATGGACCCTGTTCTTCGATTTCGCACTTAATCGTATGCATCCCAAACTGTGGAGCTACTGTTGATATCAATCCTTATGATGGATAATTATACTATCAACCGTACTGTATAGTATTCCTCCTATTCTGGACAGTGCGGTTTATGTCCAGTAGCAGCGTGGCTATCTTCCTTCAAGGATTCCATAACCTTCTATGAGCTGCTCTGGAACTATGCACCTGAGATGGGGGGTTGAACGATGCTGCCGTATGGTCCTTTACAGCTATTCTCGAATATACACCAAAACTAGAGTCAAACTGTCCAGGCTTCTGTCTGAATATGGTGGAAGACTCATTCTTCGAACCAGGTTTCAGCTGCAGAAACTGCAGATTCCAGGGTGGGAGCAGCTCGAAACTCTGCGTCGGTGCTGCTTGGGCGCTTGTTGCACAGGTCCATTTTTTTTTCTACTGGCTGGAGCTGACTTCAAGCCCGAGTTCGGTATCTCTGTGATTCAGGGGCGAGGTTGGTGCCGTTTAGGCCGACGAGCTCATGCGCTGGCCCCAACTCCTAAACCCTGAGCCCCAATCCTCCATACATCCCAACCCCTTAAAGCCTTTGAAAACCTTCAACCTTTCACGGGTTTGAAGAGAGGAAAGAACGGGCCAGCCTGAGCGACGCCGTCTCTCCCCATTGTCCATGCTCGCCGGCCCTTGCCGCATTGGGCGCTCCAAAGAACCTGTGCAGAAAAAACCCTTACTGTTTGCGCATGTGCCATGCGCATTCGCGCAGTGGCTCTCCTGACTGGTTTCGCCAGAGTGCACAAATCAACTCATACGTCGCTGCCGGAGAAGGCAGGACTGGCCTGTCGCTCAGTCCCTTCCGTCCTTCACTGTCTCCTAGAAACTCCAGAGTACGTACTCTGTGATGGCTCTTTGAGATCCAAAGGTGTGCCTTGGTTCGTCTTTCCAGAAAACGTACTGCTTGTACCATGGTATTAATGGCAGATCGGAGGTAAAGCGGCGCAAGTATTCCAGAGGCATCAAGTGGGTCAAGTTGGCCGTCTTGGCCATCACTCATGCCACTGACAGGCGGGCAGCGGCCACTCACAACTACGAAATTTGCCAACAATTCCAGGTAGGTGATACCGCGGCATCGAGGAGGCTGATGGCATTGATCTGACCACTTGAGCTGCAAGGCCCAATTCCATAATGCCACCAAGAACCAGTGCGGCCATGTCGACCCTCCAACCATCGCAACATTCACTACAGGCAGCTGCGGGGTATGACCCTGCTGGGGCAGAAAAGACAGCCACAACGCTTTCATCTCCGCATCAGACAGCTCGGCTCGCATCGCCTGGAACTGGACCTCCTTAGCTTGACGCTTGAGGGGGACCACGGCCTTGGTAAGCTCAAGAAGGTACTGGAAGAACCACGTAAGTCTCTCCTGCTGGCAGCGGCGCCAGGCGAACACTTCTGAACAGAGTTCTTTGGTCAGGGGGAGGTCAGCTGCCAACGCTGCTTTGGCTGCGGCGTCTGCAACATGATTACCCGCCACCCTGACTCTGTCCTCCGGGTGGCAGCAGTGGAGGTCTACATGGGATTTTACCTTCAGCAGGTCAAGGCTCTGGGGAAGTGGCTGGGGCCCTTCAGGTATCAGATCAGAAACGTTGCTGCAAGTTGCAACCTGGCCTTCAGCCTGGAGCAGCCGCGAGGCTTGCAAGGCAAAGGCGCTGTCAGTCCACAGGTAGGCGTGGGGCCGCTGCAACGAGGCGGCAATTTGACCTGCCCGGAGAATGGCACAGAATTCCGCTCTGCCAATGCTCTGTTGTCCTGGAACAATCCCCTGAGAGACAACATGGAACCGACCTCGCAGAACCTGGCACAAATGCTTCGTCTCAGGTAGGGGATCGGGGAGTGACTGATCTGGCATCGTATCAATCACTACCGCCCATGCTGCATGTCTAGCCTGCGGACAAGTGTTGTTACTGCAGGAGCCGTCCGTATAAAAATGCAAAGCCGGCAAAATCCCGATACTTGGCAAGCTCTTCTGGGCCTGGTGGCAGTGGCATGGCACGGGAGCGCCACAACAAGCGGGAAAAGGCCTCCTGGTCAGCCTCCACACCGAAAGGGCAGTGAAGCCAGTGAGGCATATCACTTTGTACCCATTCAAGTAAAGTGGCAAAGGGTTGACGAATACTTTGGAGTGCGGGGCAATGCAGTAGGCGGTGGTGTTTGGAGTCGAGCGCACCACAAAACAAGCACTGTGGCTCCTGAAGTTGGTCCCATTTGGACCTCGCTGCAGCTGACATGAATCCGCCAACCACGGTCTGGGCCAGATGGCACTGCTCACCAAGGCCGAATGAGGAGAGTGCCTTTTCGGTGATGTCCGCCGCAGGGGGCAAAACCAAGCTCAACCCGTTCCGATGGCCCACCTTGCTAGGCAGCAGGGAACGCCACGCACCGTTGACAGCATCCCGGATGGCTCGAGGCGAGGAGTGTCTGAGGTCAACAAACCAGTGGCCCGGGCCCTTGGCAACCCCATTGGGTTTCAGGGTCCACTCCTGTCGATGAAGCATTTTGGCAAGGGCACTGGCAGGCCCACTGACACGGCGGGGCCCACAATCATAGTTGGCAGCCGTCTGTAGCCACCACTCTCCCAACTCGGGGCTGTGTCGCATCATACGGGCCAGAGCATTGAGAACCTGGGCCAGTAGATAAGCCTCTGGATCGGCCGCTCGGGTGGAGACCGCCCCACATGCAAGAAAAGGTGACATCGACGTCCGTTTACCGAACATGGCCTGCGCAGCCGCCGAACGGTAGGCATCCACCTTTCCAACTGCCAAGCATTGGCCCTCAAGTCCGTAGAAAGTGGCCGGCCAGATGGCAGTCTGCAGCATGTGGGCTTTGACCTGCAGGCCACGAAAGGACTTGGCCAACCTGGTTAAGCGTTCATGGCCTTGGTGAAGACGTTTTTGGAGGCCGGTCACCTTGGCCCTGGGTCCGAACCGAAGCACCACCCCAAGATCCCGGGCACTATCAACCAGCTGCAACTTGGTACCCTCCGGCATATGCTGGTGGGAACGGTGCTTGAACCATTGGCGCAGGCCGCCGACGGTGGACCAACAGAAAGATTTCGACCAATCGATCGGCAAGCAAAGAGCCGAGCAGAACTCTTGTGCACTGTCCAGGGCAGAGGCCATCGCAGTGGCTTCCGACGCAACCCATGTGAAATTATCCACATAGGACATCAGTGTGGAACCTGGGGATCTTGGCCAGTATTCTGCGGCATAACAGAGGGCCAGCATGCCGACAACACTGAGAGGATCACCTTCTGGTACGCCCGTGGTAGACAGCAGCCCACAGCCGAGATCGTTGACGAAAACAGGGTGCCGAGAGATCAGAGGGAGGAAGGCAAACCATGTATCAATGATCACGCTCGGCACGTGCAGATGCTGTAACAGAGCTTTGAGGGGCTGCCGTGGGATGTTATTGAAGGCCTTGACCAAGTCAATGCTGAAACCTCCCAGGGATTCACCTGTCTGGACCGAACGCTCAATGAGACATTCAAGCTGAAGGGAAAGGTCGCGAACACTGCGCTGGGGCAGACAACCAAAGATATGCCGAGGGAACCATTGGCCCCAACTCTGGAGGATGCCTCTGGCGGCATGAGACGCCCATAGTCGGTACGTGGAGGCTAGGATGGTAATGGGCCTGGCATGTTGCATGCCTTGCGGAACATCTGTCTTGGCCAGGCAAGACACTGTAGCAGAACCCAGGTGACTGGGCCACCCGATGGTGCCACACAATTTGAACAGGCCCATAAGATCAAGTAATGCTGTTTCAGGCAGCATGCGGAGCTCGGCATTAGAAAAACCGTCATAGCCCGTGGCCTTGCCGGTTTTCAATCGACGGACCTGCCGAAGCCAGCTTTGTTCGTCATACGGGTCCCAGTTTTGCAGTGTCTGGGCTTGTGGCGGGGAAGGTGGGAGATGCCGCATGAACTTATCCCAATGCAGGGCATCAGTGCGGGCAGCTCCAGTGTCTCTCAACCAAATGGGGGCCCAATACTCAACAAAAGCACGATGGAGCTCGGTTCCAGTGGAAGCATCGGTACTCTGTCGTAGCAGGGCAGAAGGCGGTAAGGCTGCAGACTCATGCTTTAATCGCACCACCTTGGCATCATCCGGCTCAATAAGTATGGCCTGCACAAGAACCTGAACATCCCCAAGTCGGGCCGGAGCACCCTCTCTGAAAGCATCAGCATCCAGTACACTGTATATCGCAGCTTGGTCGGGTTGCTCTCTCAGGCAGGTTGCCTGCTGCGAGATATGGACCGGCAGCGCCGTGATGGGCGGGCGGGCCTGGTCCCGTAGAGCTGCATACTGCTGGCGCGAATGTCCGCTTTGAGTATCCAAGTGACCCCGATAGGTAGCCAGCTGGGCTAACCTTTGTTTTTCAAGTCGTGCAAGGGCATCGGCATCATAACAGACATACTCAGTGACCTCAGCTAGCCATTGTGCCGGTGGCCAGTTGGCCCAGAAGACATCAAAATGGTCAAGCGCCAGAAGCCAAGATGAGAAACGGGGTGGATAGCCCCGAGCCTTCTTGATGGCAGTCCACTCATTTGTAAGCTGCTTGCACACTGCATCCGACCAGTCACCCGTTCGCCTGGCTTTGGCAAGGCCTGTTTGAAAGGTCCTCAGGCGGCGTGCTTGTCGTACCTTTGCCTTGGCCACAATGGAGGTGATCTCGTTGGGCGGGTTGTAATCCCCCTGCCTAGCCCCCCTGACAGTTTTAGGCAAAGGAAAAGAAAGGCGCGGCCTGAATTGAAAGCGCCCGCGATGTGCTTGAGACAACTCCCGTATCGGGCATGCCAGTGGATCCTCAGCATGTGCCGCCGCCACGCAGTCATGCACCGACTCCTCCACTGCAGTGGCCCAGGCCAAGAAAGCGGCATCAACATGATCTTTATGTTTGCAGTGGGCTTGTTGAGCGAGCACCTGAGGGCGTCGCCCATCATAAGCACTGGCCAGGTCATCCCGAGAAAGGGGCAAGTTTGCCCAGGTGCGGGGCATACGCCATCGGTGAAGAACAACAGGCCTATCCGGGACCTCAAAGGTTGCTTGCAAGGGAGCATGCGAATCGAAGAGGCAAGCAGATGTGTTCACCGATGCCTGTCGCAACAACTGTTGAAAAAGTGGGGGCATCAACAACGTATCATGCCTCGTAGAGGCACGACAGGTGGGAGGGAGCATTTCACCTGTGCGCTTTTCCCAGAACTCAAACATTTCTTGAAAGCCATGTCGCTGATACTCAGCCCACACTGGAAGGTCCTGGACCCTGGTATTGAAGTCACCCCCAATGATGGTTGGGATGTGGTCACTAACAGCCACCTGCAGGGCCATATGGAACAGGGAGTCGTTGCACGTGCTTGCGGCCAGTCTGTTGGCAGGGAAACCATAGATCCCTATGACCCTGAAGGCAAGCCAACCAACCCGGGCGAAACCCTCCACAAGTCGGCAGGAAGCATTCCAGCACTTCGGCTGTCCACTGAAGCTGCCTCGGAGTGGGAATCGGCTAAGAAGGGCCACACCCTCAGCACAGCCGCGCAATGAAGGCTCGGGTCCATGGGAATGATGAGAGGGAACAGGCGGGCTCCACACAGATCGCCATCCAGCACACTGAAAGCGACGGGTAGACGAGGATTGTGCCGCCGACACAGCCGACGTCTCTGAGGCAAAGATCATATCTTGGTCAAGGGACAGAATCACTCTCCTTGCCATGCAGGGCTGTCGGATTGACAACTGCCACCCGAAAGTTCAAGGACGTGGCATCGGTGTCAGAGGATCTGGAACCACAATCGGAACCATCGTTTGGGGAAGACTGTGGGACACACGGCGCGGGTGAGGTTGGGCCCGGGGGCTGGGGCGAAGGCTGGAAAAATCTAGAGAGGCAGGTCTGGTGAGGAGGGCCCGGATGCAGGGCTTCACCGACACGTTGGCCTCTATGGCCAGTCAACCGACACATTGACCAGACCATGGCACTGAGGCTGAGTTGATAAAAGGCCCGGAGGGCTGCATGGTGCTGTCGCGCAGCACATTCAAAGGGGCGCACGGTCACCAAGCACAGGGCACTCTTGATGCGAGCGCCGGCATGTACACTAACTGGCAAGGAGCATGGTGTTGCAGATGGCCGACAAGCAATCTGTGGAACACAGTGCCCGGGAACACCTCGAAGGCGACTGTTCTTGAAAGGTTTGGGCCCCCCAGGGCCTGCAACAATACGTTCCGAAAGAGGCTGAAGAGACCACGTTATTACCCCAACGGGGTCTTGCAGCAAAAGGGCCACACATCGGCAGCACAAATCAGGCCACGACCTCAGGATCTCTCCCATGTAAACAGAGGACGAGGAGGACTCCCTGGGAGTCAACAAAAAACTGAAAAGCTGTGTGGCCGGCAGCTGCCGGCTCAATGAGTGTCAAAGCTCATCCTCGTTCTGCTTTTTGGCACGTTTGCTCGGGTCACGATTGTCCCGACTCGCAAGGACCAACGCTTTAAGTTCTTCGAGGCTCGACTGCATTTGTTGCTGCTGCTGGCCTTGAGCACTTTGCAGAGATTCAACAGAGCTCCGGAGTTGTTTGGTGAGCTCACTGCCCACCGTGGCTAGCTGCTCATGGAGGGCAGTATTGGCAGCCTGGGCTGTTTGACGATCCACAGCTTGTTGTTGCAGCAGCTGGGCGTGGCCCTGCTCGTGTTGTTCTTTCAAGGTCTGGAGATTCTCCTCAAGCGCTTGCAGTCGGGCCTCCTGTGCCTGAAATCGCTGCTCGGTAGGACCTGTAACCTGACGGGATGGCGTACTGGCAGCGGAGAGAGATGCAAAGGAGGTACGGGTAGAGGCAAAGGCAGCCTTGGCCCACGGGTCATTGGTAAGCCACGGGTCTTCCTCCGTGGACGATCGCGGGGCCGAGAGGTGAGTGTCGGCCGACATTTGGCGACCCTGCAGATGACCAGATTGCACAATGGGCGTAGGGGCGGCACGTTGCGGCACCTTGGTCACCATCACTGTCTGACCGTTGAAGCTAGGGTAAGCCTGCGGCGGTTCCACCTGTGAACCCAGAAGCCAGTGCTGAGGCCCTAGCGCTTTGAGCACCTTCACTGTCCATTTGCTGCCATTGGCCCAGGCCTGTATGGCTGCAGCATCCGCATTGGCTGGCGCTGGGCCCATGCGCCAGAGGTGTTTGACATCAAGCTTAGAAGGTGCAGCCTGTCCTGGCCGAAGCTGCTTGAAGATAGCCTCATGTCTTGACTCTGGCACGCGTAAGCCGTACCTATCACGGGCTTGCACCAGACCCAACTGGCCAGGCACCTGTAGCGAAGCTTTAATTGCCTCAGCTCTGGTGGGACCCAGCCACACGATGGCATAGCCACTCTGAAGGGACTGGTCCTGACGACGTGGCACGATGTAAACATGATTGTGTCCACTGCTGGCAAGCAGAGTATCGCAAGACTTGAAGTCGACCCGGGCTTTAAAGGAGATGTGATCCGCCAGGCTGGGCGAGGAGGCCTTACCCTTCAATCGAAACTGTCGGTTCCAGGGCTCACTCAGAATCTTATCCAGACCTACCCGGGCAAAAGCTTGCACAACCGTCTTCACTGGAGCTTGCACAGCGGCAGCCCACGAGTCGGCCTCCCACTCATCGGCGAAGAGAGAGAAAGTACAGACCAGGACGTCCGGGAGGGGCACATCAACATTGTGGCGTTTGGACACCTGCACAGCCTTGCCACCAAGATTATGAAGGCAGCCCGCGAGGAGCAGTTTGGATCCGCAGTGGCGACCCACCGCCGGGAAAGAAAGACGACTGCCTTCCTCGATAGCACAGCACGGGCAAGCATGCCCCAGCACCAACAGTCCAAGCTCATCTGGTTGCACCCCTTTCATGGTTTGCATGAGTTCCGCCGCAGCATCAGCATCAGCTAGCAGCACTCCAGTGGCACCTGGCCGGAGACCAGTCAACATGGCAGTGGTCGTACCGTCCTCATTCTGGAAAAAGTTGTCTGCGATGCAAACGTCTCCGGCTCGTACCTGCGTGCGGCTTTCCTGTTTCTTGCGCTGCGTAGTCTTGCGCACTCGCTGCTCAGCTCGCGCAACAAGATTGATGCCAGCCGGGACCGGGATGCCCGCTTCCTTGGCGAAGTCGACAACAACCTGCCATTTCTGCTCATCCTTACCCGTTTGCAGGGCATTGAACAGCTTTTGGGAACTGGTGCTGTCGGAAACTGCATCGACGAAGGAGGTGGTTCTGTTGAGGTCAACTCCCTGGGACAGGCACAAGGACGCAAGGCGAGTTTTCGACCAGTTCACGTTTTCCTCCTTCACCCCCCCCCCCCTGTGCAAGTGGGGTGATAAGTCAGCAACAGGGAGCCACTGCGGCGTCGCACAACACGGGCAGGCAGCTGAAGAGCTTCACCAACCTCTGTGTGTTCGGGTAACTGGTGGGGGCCGGAGAAGAGTCGCACTCCTTCTGGGATGGCACAAGCAACAGAGGCCTCAGACCACCAGTCAGTGAGCCGATCAACCTCAAAAGAGGCAGGCAACCTGCCCTCCCAAATGCGGAACGCAACGATCTGGACTTCAACGAGGTGTCCAGGCTCTGAAGTGGTCTCACATCGACAAGCCTCAAGGCGGGACACGATATACCAGATACGCAGCTGGCTCGGCAGAAGACGTGGTGCTGTATGAACCCGGTGCATGGCTGGGTGTAGTCTCAGCTGCATGGGCTGGTCATGCTGACAAGGGAAATTGACTGTCTCCGCCGACCAACCGATGGCTTCAGACAAGTGGAAAGGAAAGCCGAGCCAAAAGTTCATGGCATTGCTGGCTGGGCACGTAATGACACAAGAGGAGCCTTCCATATGCACCTTGGTGGCCACAAAATCCTCAGAGATAAGGCTCAACTTGAGCTCCGGTGCTTCCTGGGCCAAAGTTGCTGCGACGATGCAGCCAACGAAATCCTCGGCATACCACAGGCGCTGGCCACAAAGGCTGTAGCACAAAAGGTCCTCCTGGTCAGAGGAGAGACTGTCGAAGACACACAGCAATTGGGGCCACAACCGGGGTGAGGCTGGCTCGATCAGAAAGGTTTGTCCCGCAGTCAGAACTGTGCAAAGCTGAGACGAGGCACAATGGGAGGCTAGACCTCCGCAATGCAGATGTGGCAACTCAGCAGTAGACAATGTGATTGGCTCCCAGAAAAACGGTGTCTGTGGGCAGCCTAGTGATGCATCGACCTTCAAGCCGACCTGCAAAAACACGGCCTCCGAGGCAATCCCGCGAGGAACCTGAAGGACAACCACACGGCCCTGGCTTTGAAAAGCGATCGGCACGAACTCCTCAGGCGTGGTGTGACACTGCAGTGGGTCACTTAAGCTGAGGCCGGTTTCAAGAACTTGGCACACTTGGTCCTTGCGGCACAGAACCCAATGCCCTCTCAGAGGCAGGAACAATGTGTTACGACTGTGAAGACGGTCTTCAAGCACCTTACATACAGCCTCGGCCGGGGAGGGGACATGTTCTAGGCCCAGTGCTTTACATACATGCACCAACACTGCCACGGCTTGTGGCATTGCAGTGGACACACCAAGCTGGTTCATTTGCTCAGCTTGGTCTCGCAGGAGAAGCATGGGTCTCACAGCGCCGTGCAGCGAGCAGATCTCAGCCCCACTAAAGAACCTAGGGACATCACCATCGCAAAAGAGGAACCCCAGCAGCCCTTGGGATGCAAGCATGTCTTCATCAATGTGATGCTGAAACTGGTATTGCGATGTAAAGCAGCCTGCCGACTGATGCGGGCCTCGGAGCCTGAAGCTCTGCGCTGAACACGGTGTGGGGCGCCCGCCTCGTGCTGGAGGCAGATACCACGGGTCCATATACATGTTGAGCACTTCTGGGGCCAGGCTTAGGGAACTTTGTATCTCCGGCGGATGATCAAAGATGGCCAAGGCACTGCTCAAGCTTGACCGTTTTGCTGCATTCCACGCATCCCCAAGTTCGGGATCTGGGAAATTCAGGTCTTGCTTAACGAAAACCAACATGGCCCGGGGCCTGGAACAAGGCAACACGTCCAGCAGATTAAGCTGCAGCTGAAGATGCAAACTGTAACCTGCTGCAGACCATGCCTCCAGGATTTGCGGGTAATGTGCATGCTGGAAAATCCCCGCACAAGTCTCAATCCCAACCACTGGAATGCCGAAGGCCCCGGCAACATCTACTATGCGTAACATGAGTCGTCCATCTGCGGAAATGAGGCCCGGGGCCTTTTCATGATTGTTCCAAGGCTGCAGGGGAGGTGACGCCACCATCACATTGATCGGTCTGTGAGCAAGACAATGCAACCACCAGTCATGCTCAACATTGGCACTTATGTGAAGCTGCTCATCTGCATGGGGCGGGAACTCCCTCAAATCCTCAAGTTTCTCGACACATGCTAGATGCGGGACCTGAGCTTGCTGCATGGGAATACTCGTCTCCTGGAGATCAAGAGTCCAACGCGTGGAAATAGGAAGGCCTGCTCTGTGCAACACGTATGCACCCTGAGCCCAACCACCAAAACCACCACTAAAGACCTCAGCAACCTGAACAGTGGATTCTTGCACCAATGGTTGGTAGCTGGCAACCAAAGTCCTGGGATGCGTACAATCCAAGACAAACTCCTGGTGAAGCTGATGACATCCGGCCTGAATGACACGAAGGGGACCAGGGGCCTCCAACATGAACCAGTCCTCATGTCGTAGTCGCAGAACCACCTTGCGCCCTGTATGCTTGATGCCATTCGACACCTCTACCAGCTCTGCTCGGACAATTTTGCACTCAGAATCAGACGCTACTGCACCAAAGGGCTGCACTAGAAAATTCTGGTGTGTTCCATGCATGCCAGGGACGAAATCACTTGCAAACTTGCTTAATCTGCGCCACTCCAGTGAATCAAGCATGGTCTCCGGTCCAGCTCTGACGGTTTGCTCAGACATGGCTCGATCAGCACTTGGTAACTTTACCAAGCAACGGCGTTGCCCCGAGTAGGCTCGAGCCTAAACGCTGAAAACCTTCAACCCTAAACCCCCCTAGCCCTGACCGGGTTCTCGCATGGGCTCCGGCCCGTGGCACGTGCCCGTGGCACCTGTGCCTTCCGTCGCCCTGATGTCTGTACACGTGTCAGGGGAGACCAAAGCCTGGCCTAATCTTTGTTTCCGCCTTCTGCCGAGTTCGAGTTTCTGCCAACAGGGCTACCATTGAGGGCTCTTTGGCTGCCATAAGGGGTCTTTCAGGGTGTTGCGGGTTGAGGGTTCGAAGGGTTTACGATTATATATTATATGTATATATATATGGTATATTTTATATATTATATTATATATTATGTTATATATTATATGTAAGTGCTTGCAAGCGAAGCAGGGAGAGGCGCCATCTCGTAGGGACTTCCGGATCGAGGCGGACTTACGGAGACAAATCGATGTCGGAAGCAGCCCAACACGCATCTAGAACTCTCACCACGGGTATCTAGAGTTCGAGCTTGAGACCAGGTGTGAGCTTGGAAGCAGGAGGATTTTGAGAACTTTAGGAGCTTGTTCTTTCATACGCTTCCTCGCGTCCCATCTCGGCAGACGGTGCAGAAGGAGCCATGAATGAGGAGCCGTGAATGGACTCTTCCAGCTGAGTTCCGTGAGTTCCGTTAGGGACAACCCGAAGATGCAGCCATCAATGGCCACGGCGGTTTAGACTTGAGAGTCTGCGAACATGATTGCACATTGCTGTGAAAGCCCGTGTTATGGCACGACCTTTGAACTTCAGCAGGTTCTCGTTTGGATAGAGACCCTTCCGTTGTAGCTGCCTCAAGTAGCCCTCCCTGCTACCATCATCATCATTATCATCATCATCATCCTTATCATCACCGTGATCGCCGCTTCTATCATCATCGTCATCATCGTAAACATCATCGCAACCTTCACCATAACCATCATCGTCCCCATGATCGCCATCATCACCACCCTCCGCAGCTTCACCAGCATCCTCATCCCCATTATCCACATCGTGATCTTCCTCCTTTCTTCAGCATCATCGTTCGTATCAGTGTCAGCTTCACAGTCACCAGCACCATTCCGAATGAACATCGTCTCTTTCATCGTCCATGATGCCATCTAATGCACCAGAATCTTGCTGGTCATGGCCATGACCACTTTTTTTAACCATCACTGTCGTCGTCAGCCTCGCTTTCATCATAACAACTGCTATCCAGAACCATCCCCGTGTTCTTGCAAGCATCGGAACAGAGTAGCCAAAATGAGCCGCTGCAACTGCAGTGTTGCGTTTAACTGCAGGCCCTAAGCATAAGTCACCTGTAGCCGCCACAAACCCTAAACGACACTGCCCACCGCAACATTAGAACACCCTGCCGAACACAAGAGGAATAGCCATACGAGCGAAAGGATCCTATCAACGATGGTGCTGATGTCCATCGCCATCACGATGGTGGCGTTCTGGTGTGCGTCTGTGTGTGTGTGTGTGAAGTGTCGATGTTCGACATAACTCAGCGATCGAAACGGCAAGGGGAATGCTTCTATGACCGTGATGCCAGTGACGATGATGATGCCGGCCTTGCTTGCACAGTGGTACCGGTAATGGAAATAAGTGCAAGGATCGTGCACACTTACAATAAAGGCTGACTTGACGATGTTGAAAATGATTAGGATTAGGATGTCCAAGCCCGACGTCGTGATTGCGACAACAAGGACGATCACGACAATAATGACGGTCGTGGCAGCTATGATGAGTGTGCATGTGGTGATGATGAGGATGGTTTGGTTGGTCTTGTGGATCTGAAGATAAAGTCGGTGGTGTCGATTGTGATGACGATGGTGATGGCACGGGTGTTCATGATGGTGTTGCCGATGCTGATGATGGTGTTGGTGATCAGGGTGTAAATCATGGCAATCCCTGCTCTCCCCCGAAGCGGCGTCCCTTGTCGCTTTCAGCGGCTGCCGTATGTAGGCCCGTAGGCACGATTAGGCACGACTACACGTGCGCCTGGCTTTGAGGCGGTTGCATCTCCGGAGGTACGGGAGTCGCCAAGTTCTGGGCGACCCGGTATCCTGTGATCCTACAGATTCCTGAGCACTGAAGGAAGGTTGCTGTCAGCTCTTCGTATTTTTTGTTTATTTGCCTTATGCCGCTTATGCCTTATACTTTCTGCTGCTGCCCCTACCAAGCGCCACTACTCGTACTACTACCGACGGGCCGAGAGAGCTGTATGTGGGACGCCAAGGGGTTTCAAGCGTGTTCAACCATTTGCTCAGCAGCTGCCGCAGATGCTACCGTGGACCCACTATGGCCTGCGACGAACTTGCTACTGGCAATGCTGTTGTCCACTTTCATGCTTCTGCATCGGTACCGCAGACCGATGATATAAATCCTGCATTACCTTAAGGACCCTAAACTATGGGAATTATGGTATATTCCTTATTATGGGTAATGCGGGATTTATAGCATTAACCGTATCATGTGTGGCAAACGCTTCTCTCAACGCTAAACCCTAAGCCCTAGTCAAGAGAGATTGGAACTCGGAATCAGAAAGTAAGTTTGAAGATTTTCATCGTTCGATACCATAGCACGGTAGTGTTGGCATGATGTCTCTTGTGGTGCTATTCGCTTGTAGTCCCCATATACCTACACTAGATTATAATCGCAAACCCCATTCTTCTTACTAAGGCCTCTGTGCTATGGGTTTAGGGTTTAGGGTTCCATATTTCACCGTGATCCCAAGACGAGAAAAATCAAGCTCCCCACCTGGGGCCATCTCAACACCCCCTCCTCCAGCGCCTAAGTTATGTGAATGCACATATGCACACACACACACAC